ATGACGATGGCGACGAAGGGGAGGGGGGGAAATTCTGGGGGAAAAAAGAAGAAACTATCCAACTCCGCCTACAGAAATCTCCTTGCTCAGATGCGGAAATCGACCAAATCCCAGATACCCTCAGTTAGTACTGGTGCGTCCAAGAAGAAGAATGTAGTGAAGGGGAGAAAGGGTGGACCACCGGGCCTAAAGGAGCAGTAAGGTGATGCTTTCCCTCACCATTTCACTTATCATATGCTTGTTTGCTGCTTTCATACTGCTTTCACACTGCTTATCGATCCATTCCAATATCTTACAGTCCTCCTATATTCATCATCATTTGTTTATTGCTCTTCGTTTTTAAGCTATTATATACCTACCTATTCATCTTCATATAGCTATATATAGAAAGTCAAGATTACCATACATCTATTGATTACCCACCCATTCACAAGTAAATAGTCATAGTTATTCATAACCTAGTGTGCATTGACAAGCTATAGTGAATTTAACTTGGAATTCATGTTAATCCAAGATAAATGTTCATAATAATTCATACCTGTATATTCCCTGATAAGCCACAATGTGTCGGACTTGCACTTGAAAACTGTGAAAAAGTGTTGAAATTGTCAGCTTTATTCATCCCTTTAACCATGAATTATTCATTTCTATGGGAACCATGCAAATTTACTTGGCTACACAGTGTTACCCCGCCGGGTCAACACTGTGAATTGACAGTGATTGTTGGGACAAACAGGTGTGCCACTCCTGTCGTCCCCGCACCTGTCATGCCTTCCGGAGCTACTCCTGACGCTGACACTCGGCTGGATGCACTCGAGGCGAAAATCGACCGCCTAACTGAGGCCCTTACTCTCCTCACCACCCAGGCTTCCGCTGCCGCTGCTGCCGCTAATACTGCTGGCGGACCCCAAGCACCACCACCGGAGACGTCGATTCCGACTCCGACTCCGGTTCAGGGCGATTCCGAGGCCCTCTTTGGCGACATCAACCTCGCCTCAAAATTGGTTTTACGACCAAACCCCCCGTTCACCTTTAACGGCGATCGGAAACGCGGCCGCGCGTTCCTCTACGCGGTCCGCACCTACGCCCGCCTTGCCCCTGAGGCCTTCGTGGTCAATGGAGAGGCGAGTGAGGAAAAGGCCGTCCGCTATGCCATGTCGTTTATGGCAGAAGGACCTGCTCAGCAATGGGCGGAGCGCCACGGAAGCAAAGCCCCGTTTCCGTTTCCGTCCTGGGGCTCGTTCGTTTCCGAGTTTCGACTCCGGTTCGTTGAGGAGAATGAGCAAGATCACGCTCTCTCCAAACTGGAGACTTCCGCCTATCACATGGGCACCAAGGATGTCTACCAGTACACCGACGACTTCGAGGACCTGATGGACCTCGCCGGATTCGAAGACGCGTTGGTCAAGGTGACCAAGTTCCGCCACGGACTTGATCCCCTGATCAACAACGGAATCACGTCCTCGAATGACCCCCCGGACCTTAAGACTTCAGTTGGGTATTTCTAGGGATATCTTGCATTAATCAGACTTAGGTTCTTAGGGATATGATTCTAATAGTTGGCCCAAGAGCACTGATAATCAATATTAAACCTCAGTATCAAATTCAAATGAATGGCAAATCCCAATACTAAATCCATCTAAATAGACTTTCAACAGATGTCAATAAGATCTATTATAATACAATTTATTCAAGCACTTCTTCATCACCACCTGTATCTACGCATTTCCACTTTGGGCCTCGCTTTGCTTTGACCATTGCCAGGTTCACAATCTTGGGGCAGTCCACCTTGGGCACCATTTTATTGATCCGTTGTATCCACGCTGGGCTGTGAGGCCCAATGTCCAACTGGAGGATGATGGTGGAAGGCCTGAGTGCACCAGGCCAGATGGTCACAGGGGTCTGGGGGTCGTTTGGACAGCCTTTTCTTCGCTCGGCTCTCTGTTGACCACGAAGGCCTCCGGGGCAAGCCAGTCGTAAGTCTTGACTGCGTATAGGAAGGTGCGGCCGCGTTTGCGATCTCTATTAAATGCAAACGGGGGGGTTTGGTTGTAAGACCAGTTTTGAGGCGACGGTAATGTCACCAAATAACACATCCACATTGGGGGCATTCGGAGATGCCAAAGTCGGTTCAGGAGCTGCCGAAGGTGGTGCAGCAGCCTGTAAGGGCAACCCTGGAGACTCCGACGAAAGCCTAGCAGGGGAGGATCCAAAGCATGAATAAAAGCTACGGAAATACACGGAGGGACCGACCTAGCAGGGGAGGATCCAAAGAGAAGAAACTCTGAGGGTCTGCCTGCTAGGGCGCCAACTATATACTGGTCATCTGTAACTGCTGACGTAGAGCGCAGAAGGCCTGAGCGGCGTTGCAGGCTCTGTCCCAAGGTGATCGTTAGGAGGGTGTTGACGGATCGGTGATTGTGCGGGCGAAGGAGGCTGAGGACGAGGGTTGGGGTGGGTTGGAGCGTCCAAGGGGGCGCCAGTTGGATGCACCTCAAATGTGTTCGGATGGTCTGAAGGAGGCCGAAGCGGGGGTTCCCCTGACACAGCCTGGGAAGCAAGGTGGGTGAGGATATTGGTGAGGTTGTCTAATTTTGCATGTGCACGTCAGCGTCTGAAGCAGCTCCGGTAGACATAGCAGGCGTAAAGACGACAAGAGCAGAGGAGGAGGGGTCAAGTAGCAGGGGTGGTACTCCAAGCCTGAATCAGCACCGAACCTGGCAATCTTGAGTGGTTAATCCCATAGAGAGTTTCTTCTGCTATAAGGGTTGGATGTGCCCTGGATGCACTCGGACCTGAAGCGGGGGTTCCCCTGACAATTCCTTGAACATAGCTTGGGTGGTGTTGATGCGGAGGCCATCGGCAATAGTTGTGAGTGTGGGGTCCTGTTTTGCATGAGTTAAACACAGTACAGTAAGTATGAATGATGAATTTCACGTACATGCTGAACCAAGAAGTGGAGGGAGTCTTGTTTTGCTTCAGTCAGCGCGGAGTCCATGATGGGGGTGGACAAGTGACATGGCAGTGCCCCGCCGTTCCCACGATGACATCAGCAAATGTCACAAGCGATCAGCGATTTCAATCTCTGCATCTTGGCTCCGCTCCACCACCACCACACGGAACATCGTGGAGGCCTTCATGGGACCTGTCCAACCTCTCCGACAACGACCCCAATAACCCGCAGCTTGCCAGCAGCATCATCGACACCGCACCGTGTCTTTACAACAACGGCACAATCGTCTAGCAATATGATCAGCAAGCTGACCTAGTGGCTCCCGTCGATGGTGACGGCATTGATATCATTCGCCGGCGAAAATCTTGCCCAAGTCATCTGCATAGCTCCTTGAAGCAGAACCATCGCCGTCAACAGCACCAACCATTGTACGATAAGTAATTCAGACGGCGAGATTTTTATTAACCAAATATTAACCAAATTAGCATATCTAACTTCTAGAGGACTGGATCGGGGTTGCTGACGCTGAGGCGGACGCTGCGCCAAGTAACGCTACGGAGAGTTATCAGTGGGCATGTCAGGATGATGGTGGCGAGAGGACGCACCCGCTTGGCGCGCTTACGCAGCCAGAGCCCCCGCCGAGGGGGGCGCTCCCGCCGCCGCAGTTCGAGTCCCGGAAGAGCGTCGCGTCGCCGCGGAGGTCCGTCAGCTGCACGCTTTGGATGGCGCTCCCGAAGTTGACACACTCCTGGATCGAGCCGGGCTCGCGGTAGATGAACTTGACTGCCCGCTGGCAGCCGGAGTTGAGGTTCGCGACGAGCTGCATCTCACCGCGGGCGGCGAGGGCGAGGGCAAGGACGGCGAAGAAGGTGCGGACGGCGTACATGGTTTGGTCTGCGCACTAAGTCAGCATGGAGGCGACGGAGGGGAGAGGGTGCACTCGCCGGCTCGGAGTGGTAGAGTGAAGAAAACTGGAGAACAGAAGGGCTCGACTTTGCCTCTTTATACATCCGACGCGCCAGAGGTACGACCAGCTGGCAGCCACCGTCTAAGGACACTCCCGTCGTCGAAAACGACCCCTGCGCATTTGCTGCCTCCGAAAATCGATCCTCCATCAGCGCTTTGTATTGGGTGACGGAACCTTAACGCAATCAGTCCGTAACCGTTCCGAAGTGGTCAAATTCGACGAGAGGCGCGCGATCCGTCGCCTGATCCTATGAGGGACCTTGAAAAGGGAAAACTACCCACCGAAGTGTGCATAAGGCATATGTAGCTTCGGAGGGATGCATTCCTCCCCGTATGCAAGGCACACTGGCACAGCTGTTGCATGTGTTTGCCATGGGCGCTACACGCGCTTGCTCGGCTATTGCTTGAAGCGCGTTTGAGCGGATCAAGCCAGACTGGAAGAAGCATCCGGATGGTCTTGGTCCCGGGATAATCTGCTTTGCCTCAAAGCTGGCAACTTGCTGGCAACCGTAACCAGCCCCAAGCCAAGCGGATAGAGCGAAAATCCGTCCAGGTCGCTAGGTGGGTGAGTCCGTGACTATGCTGCTTGGTACCCTGCCCGACAGTCAGCCTGTAGGCAATGGCGGTTACGTTTCCTCACACCGACCCAACACGACGGAGTCCCCGATCAGTGCGCATGCGCTCTCAGACCGCGGCTCGCTTCAAGCCTTGTGTTTGTTTGATTAGGTACATGGCAACGTTATGGCATGTGGCAACACGACACATTAGAGGTTATCAGCAGCGAAAAAAAACGGGTTTATAAATTTTGGTTTACCTTGTAACTTGTGGTCATTCAACTGAAAGGTGGAGTTGTTTTTCTTACATCTTTTAGAATGTTACCACTTCTCCCTGCCACGCAACCGGGCACTTTTCTCCCAAAATTTACAAGTGGAGCTTAAATCATTCTTAGTTTTCATGCATCAGTCCTCTATATTTTGCTAGAATCGGGGCTGCTAATAACCTCTATTTAGGAGTTGTTTAGGAGCATCGTAAGAGCATCGCCATGGCCAACTTTCGCTTATATCAATCAATATATCATAAGTCAACTGGTTGAGTACTCCGGTGGCGCTTCCATCTCCTGCCCACCGACCGCGTTGATGATCCTGAGCTGTGCCTCGACGAACGCCATCCTTGCTGCCATTGTCTGCACATGCTGCAAAATCTCACTCGGCAGCGCCTCTGCGGCATCCCGGCCCGCCGGCGGAACCCCGGGCACTATTGGATCCGCTGGTCTCATCCCATGCCGTACGCTGGATATCTTGCGCAGCATGCCCGCCTGTGCCTCGGCGACGACCCGTGCGAGTGATCCGTTCTCAGATGGCGGCGGGGCGAGTATGCGCGTGCCACGCGGGGTTATTTGCATGTTTTCTGCCTGCGGCGCGGGCTCGAAAGAGGTCTGCTGATTGGCCTGACGGCGCAAGGCTCTGCGCCGGAGCCCCAGGATAACAAGTACGAGCAATATGGCTCCGGCAATTGCGCCGAGCACGATGCCGACGACCGGGCCTGTCCCGGGCCGATGGTTATGTGTCGCCGGTGAAGCGCTTGGCCTCGGACTAGGTGCAGCTGGCGATGGGGGGCTTAGCAGTCCCGCGCTCAGGCTGATGAGTGGGCCTGACGATGAAATGACAATTCCGTTGGCCGTTGTTTGACTATCCCGAGGTACAGACCTGGATTTGGAAACAACTGCTGTTTCGGAATCGGAGTTGGTGGGAGTAGGGACGTCCGGAACTGTCTGAGATCGACCTGGTGTGGCGGGGCTGGTTGTTGTATCTGTGGTCACCGGTGCCGACCCTCCTGCAGCTGTTGTTGCTACCCCAAGCCTCCACCAGGTCATTAGGCTCGGGAACCCGGGAAACAGCTGATATTCCACCACCACGGTCTGGGGCGCCGGGAGCGGCGTCATCCTTGTCTGAAGTTGGTCATCTGCGCAACTTGGACTGGAACGGAGGACGCACGGCATCGGCGTCAGGAAAGTTTCCCCCCATTCGCTGCTTGCGGTCGCCCATCCACTCGTGTTCGATGCAACGGGGAGCATCAGCGTCTCCGTCCTGATCTGCGTGATAGAGTCGGCGGGCGCCCGCTGGAGCGACACGCGCAGTCCCATCTACGTGGATCCCAGTGGGAAATGGGAAAAGTGGTGCCAGCAAAGTGAGCGTCGCCTCCCTTATGTGCCACGGGGTGTGCGGGAGATGATCACGAAGACATCTCGACGTCAACTCCGACCACATAGCTGTCCGACACATTGCTTGCAATCGATCTTCAAATCATGCTCGGCAGGGCGGGAATCTGTCACCACTACACCTATGATCGGCTGGATCCAGAAATAGGTTTCGCTCCCAGAGCTTGAAAGCACTCCTCAACAACCAATCGTTTGATACGCAATACGCATTGTCTGTACAGGTTGCCAGTGCTCGCTTGCAAGCTGCCGGTTTTCGTCATCACCGGGCCTTTATACGCGATGACTACGTCTGCCGCTTGCGCTCTCTGCCATCTCCTGTGCGCCGGGTCCGGCCGGGAGCGGCAGCTCCGCGAGTCCGACAACAGACATGGTCCACACCCCCCTGTTGCTTGCGCCGCCGCTGCCCGCGCCGCGATCAAGAGCAGCAACATCGAATAGCCCATCACTGTCCACAATCAGCTTGGCAACCCAACAAAAGGCTGATACAGGACGCACACAGCACGAAATTGAGGACGCCGAATGCAGCAATGTCACGCGTCTCGCCGCAGAGTGCGCCAATGACTCTCTTGACACTGGCGTCGATTTTGTCGTCGCGGGCAACGGCCGCTGAGCACAGGAAAGCAACAGGAAGCATGTCCGACTCCGGGTCGGGACGTTGTTGCAGCGCGCTGACCGTCAGTCCGCCCGTTGTAACCCACAGCAGTGCCAGGGCGAAGAGCAACGGGATTTCCACCGTGACTGCGACCCAGGATGCCCACACCAGTCTGTGGACTGCTATTAGCTGCTACTGAACCGCAGGGCACGATGGGACACACATGGGCACAGCGACCACGAGGGTCAGGACGCCGGAAGCGATCGCGAGGCCCGCATAGGACAAGGACATCTCACTGGCAAACAGCCGCTTGTTCACGTCTGCCAGCGCGGCGCCGAGGCCGAGCGCTGCGAGTCCAAAGAGTGTCGCGATAACTGGAGAGATCACGCCCGTGTCAGAACTCAACTTCGCAGGTGCTAGCAAGAGCCACGCACCGAGGACGATGATACGGGCTATCCTGAGCCAGGCCATCAGAATGCGAGAAGTTAAGGAATGGTGCCAACCACTCCTCGTCCGCCGCTCTTTTATAGGCAATATTGAGGCGCCTGGTTAGCGCAACACCATACACACTCTCCCGCTACAGCCCGTGAGCGATTTCGAGATCGGGAACGAGCGGGAGGGGGATACTTGAGGCTAGGCTTGAGCAAGGGAATTTCTACGCAACAATCACTATTGCCGACAGAACCAGCGCAGCCTCCTATCGTGCCCAAGCATGTGGGGCGCCGTATCTGAGACGACGCCTCAAGTGGGAGATGATCGAAGAAAGCCGCTTGGCGCTTAGAGTCTTTGGACGAGCCGCAAGAAAGTGAAAGTATGGGCGCCTATTAGTCAATGAGATACGCCGATAGACACAGCCGACGCACACTTGCCAGTGTCTGCCCCACTTTATTCCCCCATGGACCCCCAATGCCGTTTCTTCGCAGCCGCGTGTCGCTCCACCACCACTTCCCTGACTCAAAAGCATGCCACCAACGCATATTGATGTTGCGCAAAGCCGCTGGACTGTATGATTCACACCGCGCTGGATGCGGCACGGTATCGGAGAAGTGTTGTCGTGGCACTCCGCGAGCGTGTGAGCAAGTGATCGCAAAGTCACGATGTGACCTTGATCGGATGATTTGTCGGGTCAGCCAGTCTCCATCGCGGCTTCAGTGATCAGTGAATCGGCAGCACACAGTTTTACGAAAGCTCGATGATTATGACCGAATGGACACATGGGTACAGCTACTGACTCTGTTACGTCTCCGCCGCTCAGAACGGCGGCTCGGGCAGGTCGGTCTCGGGGAGGGACGGGTCAGGGTTGCTCACGCGGATGCGGACGCTCCGCCAGTTGTTCCTGCGCACACGTTAGCCTCAGCACAGCAATGACATCTATGAGAAGCACGCACCCGTCTGGGGCGTTCTTGCAGCCGGACTCGCCGTCGAAGCCCTCGCGATAGTCCGTGCAGCCGTTGCCGACGAAGACCTCGGAGCCGCCGTTCTGCAGCTCGCGCCATGCGAGACTCCTGACGCCGCTCCCGAGGTTGACGCACTCCCAGATGTCGCCGGGGTTGCGGTAGCGCGACGTGAAGATGTCCCGGCAGTCGGCGTTGGCCGCCCCATGGACTTCGAGGGCAGTGCTCGACGCGGCAAGGCTGAGCGCAAAGAGCGCAGCAAAGTGTTTAAGGCTATACATCGTTCTGTCTGTGGCGTGAGTACTAGTAGGCAGGGAAGGAAGGAAGAACCGCGCGCCTGTTGGTGAGTTTGGAAGAGTAGCTCAGACGGTGAGCAAGGTTGCCTCTTTTTATATTAACTCAGGCGACTCCCGTGTTGACGGCACCCCTGTGCGCGGGATCGGAAAAACCAGACTGCGCAGGTGGCGATGCATTTGCAATCGCGCGTCACTCCGGATCCACGCGGACTCGGATCATCTAGACCCTTATTCAGCACAGCACTGGATGGCAAGAACTTGGCGTGAAAAGGACCCCCGAAAATACGGTTGGGACTTTGATACCTCCGATCAATTTTGTCCGAACAAGAGGCCAAATTTGGGCAAAATTTGTCCGAACATGTATGAAAGTTCCTGGCGGCATCAAATCGCTGATGGGATCAACGTCGCGTGAATTCAGGCGGAAACGCATGAAACAGCGAAAATCGATCAAGAGATCGTCGCAGGATGCAGCGAGCGCGAAAACCACTAGGCTAGGGGGCCACGAGGGACTCAGGGGGCGACCCTCGGAGCAACCGGGCTGGGCGGCTGTCAAACTTGCCCATTGACAGGACCCAAACTGGGATACCGGGCCAGCCGTAGCCGGTGCCCGATATGTGTTGGCAAACAGCGCGACAACAACCCCGGCAGCCCAAAAGCACCCAGCAATGTGTTGGGCAGCCTCCGTGATGTTTGCTGGCCACTCCGCAGACATGCAAGCACGCGCTGCTGTTTGATGGCAGACCCGGTCGGAGGGACTACGTTCGGGTGTCCGTCACCGCTTCGCCGCTCTGGCGGCCGGCAAATTTGTCCGGACTTGGTCACAAACTGGGACCGACTCTTGACCAAATTTGTCCGCACGAGGTGCCAAAGTGATCGGCACTTTTGGACCCAATTGTGTCCGAATCTGTACCCAAGTTAACACCGTATTTTCGGGGGTCCTGCTTCCTCCGGATTGTCATTGCCACCCGTTACTTGTTGCGCTGCCTGCAGGGCGGACATCGGAATCGTCGGATAACACCGGAGGCATGTGCCGGGGCATCAGGCAGCCTGATGCTTTACGGGCATCAGGCGAGCACTAGGCAAGCACCAGGCCAGTTTGACATGTTGATGCCATGAGGCATTTATACGCTACATCAATAAATTATGTAGATTTTATTGGTGTTCCTATATAACTTGAAGGGATCTATAGGATACCAGTGAGAGCAACAAGGGGGGCCCAACATTCAAATTATGTACATAGGGCCGAATGTTTTTTTTCTGGGCCTTCAGACCCCCTCCCCCCCCCCTCCTGCCTTATATACTAATGATCTCCCACGAAAACGTGACTGATGCGATCAAAATCACATCAAAATGATCGATAGAGGTCTTGAAAATGGAAAATGTGATTAAATTAAATTGTAACTAGGCTATTATAATGTTCCTATGCCTTTAAATGAACTTTCATATAAAGTTGTATTGCTTCTTGCATCATGATGATATGTTGATGCTATCAAAGACTGTGACAAGTTTAGTCACTTCACCAAAAAAACTGGGTTTCACTGCATTCAAAGGTATAAAATGGCATTTAATATGGAAGATCTACATATGAAAGGCCTCCTAAGGCCTCCTAAGTACCTCTTGAAGCATCCCTACACCAAACACAAAAGTTTTCTTTCTAGGCTCTGGACCCCCCCCCCCTGCCCCATAGCCGTGATAGGCATCTTGCGCCCCCCTTGGAGAGCAATGTATTTTCTTATGATTAACACCACTGAGAGCAAACTCTGGAGTTGCTGTGAGCCTTCCTGATATACAATTCTTTGATAGAGATAAAGCAAAGGGTCAAATTGCTGCTTAGAGCAGCTGTAGTTTAAGATTGCTAGTCATACATTATATGCTAATTATGACCAGCTCAGTCATCTGAGAAAGTAAACCACTAGCAGCCTGCCTACCAGAATGCAGGAATACCCACCAGTCCAGATGGGGAAGGCTTCAGGTCACTTCATAGACACCTATGGGTGGACCATTGCTCATACTAACCTATCTGGGTAAAGAGTAGATGCAATGGCCAGATTGGTATATACTACAGGTCAAGTAGGTCTATCAAACCAAAAAATACATTTTAAATGGACAAATAGAGTGTTTTATGGTTGAATATAGCCAAGTAATATACAGTCAAGTTGACCTTATGAATTACTGATAGTATACTTGAATGTAACTCAAGTAAAAAGGGACTTATTTGTGAATTCAGTGCTATCTAAATCTTATCTAATCAATCTAAAGCCTCATGGTTACAGCATGTCACACCCCAGAATGGCGCTCAGTGCTTGCCTGATGCCCGTTAAGCATCAGGCAGCCTGATGCCCAGGCACATGCCTCCGGTGTAAGGCATGACGCCTTGAGCTCATAGTCGTGCGATCACGGACTGACCGGTTTATTTTGGTTGCAAGGTGGCAACCAATTCGGTCAACGCGGGCTTCACGGTCCACTATGAGGGTTCTTTTGTACAAAAAAGCTCTTCCGCGCGCGAACATGGTATATTTACGTAGAATACTCTACAAGTCGTAACCTAACCCAGCCAAACTTAATTCAACAGTGCCCTTGTTGGCTCCTCGCCAAGATAATAGATTTCATCGAATTTGGTAGGGATTGTTAGGGCAACTTCCTTTTGGGCCTATAATTCCAGCCTTGGATACATAGGACTCTCAAAATACAATCCGGGGAATTGCCAGTAGACACTTGATCAGGGGTTTCAGACTATGTTTAATAGGGTCAACCTAAAGTGATCACTCCTGACATTTGTTCCTACCAGGAGTAATGTATGTATGCATCACCATATATAATAGATAATATGTGACATTTATCAGAAGTAGGGCTAACTCAGACCATAAGTAAGGGCAACTCCAATGAAAGCCTAGCAGGGGAGGATCCAAAGGGTGAATAAGAGCTATGGAAATACACGGAGGGACCGACCTAGCAGGGGAGGATCTAAAGAGAAGAAACTCTAAGAATAAAAAGGACGTCCAGCAGTTCCTGGGGTTTGCTAACTTCTACCGCAGGTTCATTCGGGATTTCTCGGCCTCGCGCAGCCTCTCTTTGCGCTTACCAAGAAAGACCAGAAGTGGACCTGGGGAGACGCCGAAGTCGCCGCCTTTCAAGCCATCAAGGACGCAGTCATCTCAGAACCCGTCTTAGCGATCCTGGACGACTCTCGGCCTTTCTGACTTGAAGCAGACAGCTCCACCTATTTAGCCCACAAAACACTGTGAGTTATCAGTGGTAACCCGCCGGGGTGCCATTGACAAGGCTCAGTATTTTCAGAACATCCCCTGAGGTGAATAATTGCTGGGGAGAGGGGTGAATAAAGTTGAGCTCTAAGGCAAAATTCGTACCAAGTCCAGTATATAAGGGGTGAATAAAGGTGAATAATACAATATAGGTCATCCAGACCAAGTCTCCCGGAGGCACACTATGTGACAGGTGACACAGCGTCCTAAAAAGGAACTTTCGTCAATAGAGATTGGAGTTGGTAGTTTTAGTGGCTATGTCATATGGTTATATACTGTAACATAGAGTGATACATATAAGAAATTTCCACAATCATTGCAGAATGTCACGAATTGTCACAAAATAACAGCTCTCTATTTTGACTATACAAACAACTTTCATTAAGTGATGTATAGTGGCAGCTGAATAGTAGTATCAGAACTGTCTAATCACTAGCTGATGTTCAACTGATGGGCTTCTATTTCTATAACCACTTGATATAAATACATGATTTCAGTACTACCAGGAAGGCCTTTCA